CTAGACAGTCTATCCAGCTCTCTGGCTGACTCTGCTCATTCCCTTTTCTTCCCCACAAACTTTCACCAGTGCCTGTTTCTTAGTCTCACGTAGTAGGAGAAGACGACTTCTTGGTCATGGCTTGAATCAGCAGGATCAATGTAATAATCCACCAGCACTTCCTGGGGCTGACCACATTTCACAAGGCCACTCAGCTGCTGGATGCCAAGGAAGCTGCGGGTTGTGTTGTAGAAGGGCTGCAGGTGCAGATAGGCATTTTGGTAGTAACGAGGCACTTGTTCCCGATCATATACTAAATCTTCCATTTGGAACTTGCCCTGGGAGAAAAAGACAAAGTCCTCTTACACCAAACATATTAACCCATTGGAGTTATCATGGTTTTCAAATAGAGCTCTTTCTCTCAAATCTTTAATGCCTAGAAATGCCATGTGGGTATTTCACTAGAGGTCCAGCCAAGGATAGATAGGGAACCCATAACAGTGGTTATGTACAGCAACATTTTGGCATATAGGAGAGTCAGAGGAGGGCTGAACTATAGTTGTTAAGTAATGAGAAATTGATATACCTTCACCAACTGATGCCAAGGGGCAAGATAAGCATAACTAAAGTTATATAGGAATCAAAGATTACATTTCAGGGATAAGAAAACAAGGTATAGAGAATACTAAGTTTGAAGATTAATCATTTTTGAGTATATTGATTGAATAATAGCTAAAGATATAGTTAAAGCTGGGTATGGTGGCTCACACTTGTAATCCCAGCACTTTGGGAGGCTGAAGTGGGAGGATTGCTTTAAGCCAGGAGCTTAAGACCAGGCAAGGAAATATAGCAAGACCCCATCTCTACAAAAAGTAAAAAAAAAATTAGCTAGGCATGATGGTGCTCCTGTAGTCCCAGCTAATTAGGGTGGGGACTGAGGTAGGAGGATCCTTTGAGCCCAGTAGTTTAAGGTTACAGTGAGCTTTGATCATGCCATTACACTCTAGCCTGGCTCAAAGTGAGACCCTTGTCTCAAAAAAACAATCAAATTAGCCATAAGACAGATAGTATGCGTTTGTTTAAGTTGTGTGTTTGGGCTAGGCATGTGTGGCTCAAGCAGCTAAGGCGCCAGCTACATACACCTGAGCTGGCGGGTTCGAATCCAGCC